GAGATTAGCAAAGTTATTCTTCATTTTAAACAAAACCAGCCTCCTGCCCCTTCATGTGAACAGTATTAGGAAGAACCAGCTTGGGGGAAAATGGCACACTTCATACCCAAAGCTTGTTTTCAGAAGACTTGCTATAAAAAGATTGGGGCAGATCCTGACAAGGATTGCCAGCTCTGGTGGGCTTGTACAGAACTTTGCACAAGCACTTCATCAGTATTAAAAAGGCATAACTATTTTCTGTGTGTTTTCTGCAGAAAAATACTGTGTTTCAGTCTTAGTTCATTTCCCAGACCTCACTAGATACCACCAGCTTCCAAAGCCAGCTGTCCTTCTTCCCAGCCATCTCCCTGGAAACTCTTGTACAGGTCAGTGTTGGGTGAGACCTGTACCAATCACAGGAAAGGGGTGCTGATGCCAACAGCTCTCAGCAAGAGAAGGGCAGGTGTTTGGAATGCCAAGCAAACAAGTGTGCACTAAATGAGCATGAGAGTATGGAGGAGTGGCAAAAAGATCACATGGGACCCACAGCACTGAGCTGAAAGCAGCTGTGTATGCCCAGGATTAGTGCTGGACACAGAAAGGAGCTCTCAGTGGCCACAGGGATCAGACACCAAAGAGGATGTGTTACAAATTTCCTGGGTTAGAACTAGCAGTGGAGCTGGTACAGGCAGGGGAAAGGAGGCAGGGCAACGTTTATAAAATGAAACGAAGTACACATTGAGTGGGAGTGTCTGAAGATGGAAATAAGTAAAGAGGGAAAGGAAACCATGGGTACTAGAGTCTTAAGTCTGGCTTCAGAACCCACTGAAGAAATGTGCCAACACATTTACACCAGCCTCCATCCGGACTCACCATGGGTCCACATGCAGAACAAAGTAAAGGAGTATGTGGACGGCCGCGACAGTGTTTGCAGACGGGAGGAAGAAAGCTCCTTCTGCCAAATAAGTGCAGATGGAAGAAAATCTAATTGTGCTTTCAAAAAAATACTCTAGTAATTTGAACTACACCTAAGCGTAACCTCTGGAAGAAACAGTTTAGTCCCCTCACCAGTGAAACTACCGCTAGAGAAGTGAGACTCAGACATTGCAGAGTATTAGGCTGCCAATCTGCTTTGGGGACTAAATACTTCTCCGACAGAAACAGAAAAACAAACATATTAGAAGCATAGGAGTTTTAACAAACTATTTCACTTGTAAGCAATCTAGAATGATCATCTAGTCCAACTGCCTGACCAGTTCAGTGTTGACCAAAATTAAATCATGTTGTTAAGGGCATTGTCCAAATGCCTCTTGTGCATTGACAGGCTTGGGACATTGACCACTTCTCTAGGAAGCCTGTTCCAGTGTTTGACTACCCTCTTGGTAGAAAATGCTTCCTAATGTCCAGTCTGAAGCTCCTCTGGTGCATCTTTGAACCATTCCCATGCATCCTATCACTGTATCCCAAAAAGAAGAGATCAGCACCTCCCTCTCCACTTGCCCTCCTCAGGAAGTGGCAGAGAGTGATGAGATTACCCCTCAGTCTCCTTTTCTCCACACTAGACAAGCCCTAAGTCCTCAGCCTCTCCTCACAGGATATGCCTTCCAACCTTTTCACCAGCTTTGTGGTCCTCTTCTGGACACATTCAAGGACCTCCACATCCTTCTTACATTGTGGTGCCCAGAACTCCAAGGTGAGTACCCAAGGTGAGCCTGCACCAAAACTGAATTTAGAAACTCAAGTGTCCAAGTACCAAATCCTCTCTTTTGGTACTCACCTGTGTTGCAAGGGCAGCTTCTCTTGCAACGTCTCTCATGGTATTCCTAATATTAGTCTTGTCTACAGATAGCAAAGGGAGGCAGAGGGGAAGCTGTTGTCCCTTGCTCCTCTCCTTTCTCAACATGGATTCAGGCCAAATACAGTACTAGTCTCCCATGGCCTCTCCCCCACTCCACAGTCAGAAAAAAATGCCTTTTCCTGCACTTCAGTGGGAAGGAATTGGATAAAGCAGCAGAGATACATCATTTGAGGTGCCACGGCAGTGAAGGTACTCTTCCCACACTAGCTGTTCTGGTGTTCAGGGAACAGTGGGTGCTTACTTCGTAAGTTGACTCTTTTACACAACTTTGGACTAGCAGTGGGGCACAAATCATAGTCATGAATAGATCTGTGGTTCCTTCTCCTAAAGAGATGATTATGATGCCTTAACTCTAATCCTTGAATGGAAATTATGCTCAGTTTTGCATTTCCCCTAAGTACAATGGGTGAGAGGGGAAAAAAAAATGTCTGGAGCAAATTGGTGTCTTCCTAAGGGTAGAGGGTTTTTTAAAATGGCTTCTTGGATGAAAAGGGTAAAGATCTATACAAAACATTTAATGGACAATTTGCTTTGACCATGAGGTCTCTCGGGGAAGCATTGTGCAGAGTTGTACCCATTCCCTACTGCATGACCCTGAGCCCACTCAAAGCCGAGCAGTATTACTGAAAGGTGTGAGTACACTGCTGCTTATGCAGCAAAATCTGAGGCCAGCTCTGTACTTGGCTAGAAGAGAGAGATCACTTCTTCACTGTCACATACTCTGCACAAGCAAACACAAAGAATCATTTACAATAGCTCTCCTTTGTCAAAGGGCAGACCTGATGGGACATACAGCTAGGAAAAGTTGCATAAAGCATGGTCTCTAGAAGTATAGAGGAAAAATGTGACCATCACCCAGTATTCATACAAGAGATAAACCACAATTATGATACTCTACTTTTAAGATACTCTCAGTACCTTTTTCTGCATTTACTTTTTGATTGACATTTCTTAATTGGGGAAGTGAACAAAAGAGTATAGCCAAAGATACTGTGTGCAATTAATTTAATAGCATTATAGAACAACAAATCCACTCTTTGAGAACTTGATTAATCAGTATGTTTCTTGAACCAAAGAGAAAACCATAGACTCCAATAAAACAAAATCTTCCACAGGAGCAAGTTTAAAAGTAGAACACATTACATCTTTTAGATTGTTGTCATTAAACAACTGTTTCAGTAGACCAAAAAAAAAAAAAAGATAGTATTTTGGTCATAAAATAAAAAGTATTTCTTTAAAACAACTATAGCAAATATTCCCTGAGAATTAAGAATCAGCAACAACTATTGCCAGATTGGTTTTTTCTGTTACAGTGCAGAAATGTTACAGCACATTCTCTCCATTCAAAAACCTCACAGGAAGACTAAAGGCCACAGTTTTTATTTACGATGTGCATCTTCTGGATGTGATCATCTTTCAAGAGAATTAAATCTGGATGCAGCAACCCTCAGCACTGAAGCTAGCTAAACACGAGAGGAGAGAAGGCAATTGAGGAAAGGTTTAACCCACATGCTAAGTGTGCATATTCAGAATTTCATTATTTTTCCCCTGTGCTAGGTTTTCTAAATTTGCCCTTCCAACTATGCTATGGCAGCAGTTCGGAATATCCCACTCCCTCTGTCCCCCCAGAAACATGCATTTAAAATACACACCCACCACCAAAATGTTCCATTTTGACAAGTAAGCTGAAGTCAAAGCAGAAAAGGGAGATAAAACAGACAAGTGGAGTAACTATTGAAGTTGAAATAATCAATTTTAAATGCCTAAAAATTAGATTTTATGGCCCGTGGTACTGCTGAAAGCTGCATGCAGCACAGCTTTATTGTTGCATTACTCCTCAGCACAAAGAATTAAAGTGCAGTAAACGTTGGGTATTTGGTGCAGCACAATGTTACAAAGAAAATCTACTTTCTGTTATTAATTCAGCTCAAAAAGATGGCATTCTGGGGGCAGTTTGCACTGACTCAGAAAAATACAAGATCCTATTGGGATCCAAATTATCTGTTGTAGCAGAAAGTTTCTTCCTGTCCTGTCCTATACATCAAATTAATATATCAGTGTCTCCCTGTGGCTACCTGCTAGTTCCCTGGCTCTTTATCCAAGATAGAAGAATCATTCTTTCCCTGCAACTTCAAGTCTTAGCTCAGCTGAATTCTCCCTTTCATTGCTTCAAAGCATCCAGCAGATCTGGAAGTGTCTGCTATTGCTTGATCTATGACTGGTGCAAACCAGAAGTGTACAGCATTCATTTACAGCAGACTGTGAAAACCTGACCAAAGATCTGCAAAGACCTGACCTGCAAAGAGTCTTCTGATAATAACGAAAGTTGACGTGGGTTAACAGCAGAAGGGAGATGGTTTTAAGAAGGTAAAAAAAAAAAAAAAAAAAAGGTCTAGCAGTAAACCAGGAGAGAAGCCTAACATATACCAATGAACACTGCAGTGCTATCACAGTTGGATCCTAAAAGACTATTCAAAGGTGACTGGGGAAGCGTAACAACTGAAAAATCTCTATTTGCCCCAGAAAACTTAGATGAAAATACCAGTATGTGGGCTGAGGACTCAAAGTGGGAATGCAAAGTATTCAACATACCTATAACATGTTGGGTATATTCTAATATGTGTAATAGTTTGGCCATGCTGGATCTGCTATGTTTATGCCATGTAGTTATAATCTGCATATATATATATATAGGTTCAGTTGGTCTGGACATCAGCTCTCCCTTTGGCTGGGCTGTCAGAGGTCCAGAAACATTGAATATATGGTCACATTCCTCTTCTACTTGGAAAAACTTCCTAAGCAAAAATATAAGACAGAAGAGATGGTTGCCCTATCTCTAAATCTTGAGGATTGTGATCCAATTAGTTTAGTATATATTTCATTTTTTCCCAAGCGTTTTCTCTATTATCAGAGTATCTTTCTACATAACTTCATCAATGGTTTAACTCAAGAAGATATAACAGAAAAAATATACGAAAATAATCTTTATCATCTTTGTGAAGCAGCAATCAGAAAGGTCAAATGAATCAGTTGGCTATAAACTACGACATTTACTGTTGATCAAGAGTATTCATCATATTGCAAAAGAAAATAATGCAACATGAGTCACAGCAAAACATATAAATGCATCTGAGTGACAGAAACTTGCATTACAGTACTTTATAGTGAAAAGCCTTTATTTTGTTTTCCCTTTTTTAATCTTGCTTTTCTTTTCTACAGTGACATTATCAAAATACACTGCCAGTTAAGTTTTACTCTCTATAAGGAACAAAAAGATTCAGGCCTCTGCTCTCATCATTAGCCATAAAGATCACAAAGTTGTGTTGGTGATTTGACTCTAAAGACACCACTCCTATCTGCTATGGCCACTCTTCAGCCATTCAGTGGTTGTTGAACATTTTGCTAGTTCAAGTACTACCCATACAGTAAACCAAGCCCTAAAATCTCCACGTTTAAGTGCACAACACTTCATTCAAGCAGTTTTACTTAAAAAGAGACACTAAGATTAGTGACACAGTTGACACTTTAGCACAAGTCTGGTTGTGGGGATAAAGAGAAAGGTTCCTGGTGTGTCAGATCATCTTCACTTTTCCTCTAAACAGCAACTGCCAGACACGACGGAGTATAGATCTTGACTAGTTCATCCCAAGCACAGTCCACCACCTAGAAAGCAAACAAATCTATTTAGATCCTTCATAAGTGTCATTTTTACAAAAAACAGAGGGAACTTAGAGAAACTTAATGCATATTATGGAGTTAATACCAGTCGATACTCTGATTTACAGTGCTTTGAAATGATATAGTAATGAAATGGTTTTTGTTTTTTTAAAATTTCATCTTCACAAAGGTGCAGCAAATTACAACCTCTTCTTTTTCATACTCCTCATGAGGAAAGCGGGGAAACCTTTGGGTTTGAACTGATTATTCCAAATAGGCTAAAGAAGGTACTCGAGAATTAAATTAAGGAAGGACACAAAAAATTCTACCTTGTCATATTTCTTCTTTTTCTAGAGTCTCAGGGTACTTTTACCATAATATCTAAACACTTCATGACCAGATCTGAACATCTTTCTTACGCTTACAGGTACAGAAATTTGTTACAGACATTTTCCTAATGTATTGTTGAAGAATGGAGAAACAAAGAAGTTCAACAAAATCACACAGGAAGTTTCCTGAAGAATTAAGCCAGAATTTCAGTCTCACACTTGATAAGCTATGAGATCACTGCAATGTCTTTTGTTGAAATGAGAGACGTCTATTTGCTGAGCACTGAGATTTGGGGGCCTCACTTTAGAGTCTGTAACAAAGCAAAAGGGTTAACCACACTGATAATTACTCAAAAATATGACCTATAATATATATTCACAAAATATTGCAGGAGACAAGAACCAAGGCAAAGACAAGAGCTAAAGAGAAAAAGCTGATGAGATCCACAAATATATTCCAGTAAATCTGGTTGAATCCATATTGCATTATCTTTACAATGTCATTTCCAGTTGGGATCATAAAAGATACAGTATTGGATCCTCTGCCCAACAAGCTTCCTTCTGTTGTAGACTGCAATTCCTGTTCTCTTCTAGAGCCAGAATGAACAGCTGCACACTAAAAATTTGGAAATCCAACTACAATATTTGATTTCAGACTATAATTAGGCCATTTTATGTTTACTATACTGCACTATTATTCATTTCTACTGCTTCCTTAGCTGGTTCTACTTAGTTATTTGAAGTACTTTCCACATACATCTAAATGGGTCAAAAAAACTCTTGACAACGTGTCTGTCTATTCATACGACACAATAGAGCTTTCTGTAGCATAATGTTCTGCTGCATTGCAGTCTCCCAAATAATACCAAAAAGAAAATTTGTGTTCTCCACTAAATGCTGTATAGAAACTGGCAATCACATAAACTGCAGGTTTTTTACTATTCTCCAAAGCTACAGATCAATGTCTGTATTTCTATAGGCAATACTTTCTACTTTCGTAAAGAAACAAGGAACAGAAATAACATTTGGAAAAAATCCCATGGGAATTCCCACCTGTTATCAAAGTAATTAGCATCCCTGAAACAGCCTCTGAACAAATATAGTTACAGAACCTTTTAATCTAGCAGCACTAAAAATAAACAAGGGGATATTAAAAGGGAGTTTGAAAAGGATCACTTGTGGTAAGCTGCCCAACTCATTGACTTGATGATAGCACATGAAAGGAGGAAACAGCCAGGCAACAAAAGGAAAATAAAAGCTCCAGCAAATAACAGTGAATCAGGTTCTCCTGTGCAGCAGGAACCCTGTAATGAAATACTGATATCAGAAACCTTGATGAAAATACACATGCAAAGAACAGCAAACAGGTACCTATGGAAAATTGGGACACTACAGCATGGAACAGCATTACAAAATGTAATAGCATTTCCATTTCTTCATGCTTCCTTCAAAATACAGCCAAGACTGTCAGAAAAATGGGACAACTGTTAGCTAAGAGTGCAGCAGCCAGCATTCACTGATGGACAGCGGATACATGGCCCTTTGCAGTATCTCACAGATTATCACTGCCTCAAATACAAACAACTAAGATGAATCCTGAGATAAAGAGAAGCCCCTTGTTCATGTAGCTACTGCATCAGTTTACAAAATGTCTTCCTTCATTCTGTCTTTTGTCTTATGACCTATCTTATACAGTAGTATTATGACTGTTGTGTGCCTTTCCCTAGAAGAGGGGAATGTAGGATGTGGAATGTAAGTGGTTTAAAAGTATTTACAAATGTCAGATCTCGTGTGATATGTGAACATTTTTAATACATACTTTAAAGCATTTTTGGCCCCCCCCTTTTTTTTTTGATAAACTAAATATTAAAATAGGGGTAGATATAGCATACAAAAAGCTGCATGTTCCTAGAGTTTATATTTTGCTCAATGAGATGATTTTACTAACAGGTGAAGAAAATCTTCCTGTGGCAGGATGAAGGACAAAGGAAAACTGAAAATGGACTCACATTTTATTTGCCTACCTGATAGTAGTCCTCACAGTTAGGAACATGAAGGCATGGAGGTTTGTCCTTCTGTAAAAATGTCTGCTGTCTTGGGGGCAAATTTTACTCTGAGATTCAAACAAATCTCACTGATTTCAGTTTTTAGAGGGTGCATGATTTTTTTTTTTCAAACTGACATGTCAGGACAGTTTATTTCAGTTGCAAAGAACTGTAAAAACTGTCATATTTCTTGTATTATTGACTATTTTGCACAGCATATTTTGTATGCCATGCAATTTTCATTATCATTTATGAAAACTGAACTGCTCTTGTAGCTAGCTATAGAATGTAATTCTACTACAGCAACTTTTGACTACCAGAAATTACAGGGAAAAGGAGAACAATTAGAGTTTAATTGCAAAACAAGAATATTTTATGTTACACTGACTGGTAAACTACATCAAGAAATAATGCAAACAGAAAAAGCATTCTAAACCTGGTAATTTTCATTGTAACTAAAGCTATTTGGGATAAAGGCAGCTGAACAAAATGACTTTTATTACTCATCTTTAATGCTTTTATTTCAGTAGCAAATTTGCAGTACTAGCATATACACTAAAGGCACTGTATTGTTATGTCAATTTATGTACCAGTAGAGATGGGGACCACTGTATTCCTCTTCAAGTAAAGCCAAAAAGCAAGCAAACAAATGAAAAACTGAAGTCATCACAGGAAGATGACTGCTTGACTAGAAGATCATAGTTTTAACTCAACTATAACAGCTATCCTGTATTTTATTGAAGTGTTTATCCTTGTCCCAGAGTGTAACAATGTTTTCCACCAACTGATCTAATACGGATATCCATTCCTTTATCAGAGCCATTTCCATTCACTCACTAACTGATTTAATCCCTTGAAAGGCTCTCTGTTTTCTATTCATCGTAATCATCTTGCCTTGCAATAGAGTTAGACCTTTTCCAGCATCCCAGGGCAATCCATTCCATCTAGTGCAATCATCTGCATAACATTCAGCCTCTTTACTGCTCAGAAACAAGAGAACAAGAGAAAACTCTGAAGTTAGTTACTGACTTTTCTTTTTCAGTATCGGAAGGTGTAATAAATCTCCGTGCCCTAACCACAATTAAATACATTCAAAATAACAGCTAAAATTTAAGAGTTCAGTTACGCCTTTATCAGAACAGGAACAAAGAACAGGTTTAATCAGAACAAAGTACAGCCCTCTCTAGATTAGTATTTCCAGAACTAACGCAGTTTTCAGAGCTCATAATAAATCATACAATAATACGTAAATGTACTTGAGAGTGACCCATTTCTCAGCTTTTCCCCATTCTATTTTCAAATAAAACTAATAAGACTTTTTTTTTTTTTTTTTTTTTTTTTTTTTTTTTTTTTTTTTTTTTTTTTTTTTTTTTTTTTTTTTTTTTTTTTTTTTTTTATTCTGTGGAAGAGACAAGAGAAAAAGTATTCAGTTCTTGACTTTCATTAATGTTGTATTTCCCTTCCGCTTTTAGTTTCTCATCATCTGTGTCTTCTCAAACAGAATTTAATGGTCTATTTATATCATTATTATGTATTTTTGAGGGATCCTGGGCATCCTCTAAGCGAGTGGCATGGAGATTAAGGGGAGATAAAACAAGCTATTAGGTTTGCTACTCATCAAATTACTTTCACAGGTGAGCATTAAAACTGATTGGTCAAGTGCATAATGGATCATGTATGATCCATTAAATACCTATTTTGTTCCAGAAAATCTGAACCACTACTGTGGCCTGCTTGGTTAACACTTGCCAGAGTGAACTGCACACGACGTTAACCTTTACACAAGAGTGATGTGAGTTTGCAAACTGTAACTTTTTAATGTGCAGTAAAATCAGCATTTTTTAATTTACTTTTGAAAAAATACACCTTAATTTAATTATTATTTCCAGTAAAAACAGAATAAAACAAACCCTGGAACAGAACTTCTTATAAAGATCTAGGTTCAAAGTAGAGTTATCAGAAACAAATGTTCCAACCACTACTTAAGAAATCCATTTCTTTCTTAAGGAGAAAGAAAATACTGCCTCCCACCCTTCCCAGTACTTCAGAATCAAAATTAAAGTGCATTTTCTTCTCCATACACTTGCATAGATGAATTGCATTACAGAATTGTGATGCCTGACAGCAACCTTTCCAAACACCTCAGGAAGAGACTTTAGCTGTTAATGGCAAAAAGTGATCATTACTCATGAGGGGCTGGCTTTGACTTTCGCAGTGGAAGTTTAATTTTAACAGTTTGGGAAAGACATACTATAGGCACCAGCAAGAAATTTCACCTTCTTTTAGTCTCTCCAACTCTGGAAGATGTTCAAACTGGTTTAATATTTGCAGCTGGTGAAATCTGGTATTTTCATGAAAAAATCCACCCTGAAATTAAGTAGGTTCTTTTTAGCTCAAGGAATCATTAACTGCATAACTTTAGTAGCATCCTGGAGAAGGACCATAAGGAGAGACTAAAATGAAGTGCAGATAGTGTTATAATTATAGCATTGGGACAGCCACAACAGCTGGATGGAAGCTATCAGTTCCTTGGAAATTAAGTGTAAAAGATAAGAGCAAGTGATCGAAAGAAAAATGCAGAGAAAGTCTGTTTTTCTGCACATTTCCACAAGATATAACTCCACTTTCATAT